ACATACAAAATCATAAAGATAAGTGGAATGAAAATATGAAAATTGGTCAGGGTGCAAAACATCCTCGTAGCTGCAAAGCCTCTTTTGAATGCAGACAGTTCAGTATTTTATGATTAGAAGTCTGTGTATTGCCCAGTTGTAGAAGATAATTTTAAAAATTCCAAACTTTAAACTGCATGATGTCTTTGTTTGAAAATGTCCTTAAATGCTGCTTGTAGAACTGCATTTATACTACGCTACACTGAGCAAAATCTATCACTTCTTGGAAAAGACTACAAATTAGACTTATACTCCACAGTGAAAATACTGTTCAGCAATTTCAAAGCTGCTGCTGTTAGTCCCAAAGGTAAGAACCGACAGTGTAAGGGTGCCTAAAACAAGGGCTAGTATTGGAGAAAAATGGAAGGGAATGGCTAGTGTGGTGCAAAATACTAGCTTCCCCGAAGCTTTCTAAGCAGTTAAGTCCTGTTCTTGTTTTTCTTCTTTTCTCCTTTTCTGTCCCCCTGATGGTGACTTGCATGTGTACAGGTTAAATTTTTTTTTTTCCTTCAGTCTGGAAACAAAGTGATGATTCTCACCAGCTAAAGTACAATGCTTGAATTACATTTTCTATGTGCTTGTAGGTAATGCAAGGAAAACAATGCTTTCTGCTAAATTTGGGTTTTTCACTTTAATATTACCTGCCTAGGACACCAAAATGGTTAGGTTTGGGGTTTTTTTATTTTTGGCACAAAAATAATGAGATGCAACCAGTGTTTGTACTTTGTCATCTTAGTTCTGGTTTTGTTTTAGGAAGTAACAGAGTGTGAAGCTAACATCATCTCTTCTTATGTTGGTCTCCAAGTGCTATGTGGTGTTATGAAATAAGACATCTGACAGCATCTGCGCTGGTGGAGTACAAATCTAACATGAGTATAACAGATTTTTCTGATGTTTTCAATAAACAAAGCCATTAACTCTTTGTTTATCTGTTTTATGTTAGGCCTGACAATATTATCTTTTATGACACTATCTTGTCTCGGTTAAGGAATGCAGAGCAGAGAGAACAAGGTCTGAAGTGCGTTGCGCTATTCAGCAGATCTCTGCACGTCACCTCCTCAAGAGGCAACCTTTAGTTATTCAGTGACTGCAGAATTGTGCTATCTTGTGGTTTTCTTGTAAGTCTGTTGCTGGTCTGTTCATTTTGTTTTGATTGCAAGGGTCCCTTCCTTATAGATACATGACTGACTACTTTTCTCCCCCTAGAGTTTTAATAAATTCTACATCCTGAACATAAAGGAAAATAACCTCCTGTAACTAACAGGAGTTTTCATCTGCAAATGATGCAGGAAATGCAGTAACGAAGCTGTCTGAACTGGTAGCCCAATCACTATATGATGAATTACAAAAGTAGAATCACTCCACGTAAGAAGTGTCTGATATGTCCTCACCAATATTGTGAGTTTGTGTAAAAGTGTATGTCAGCAGTTCAACAGAATATACTGAAAGTGGAGAACAGCTCATAACTGCAAGACTGACTTATGCCCAGTAGAAACTGGCTTATTGTTATGTTATGATTGGCTAAGTGGTTTCCTTTCACATCTGCAACATATTACATCAGATTTTCTTTGGCACATACTTCCCACTAAATGAATTTGTATGCTTGAAATACATACTCCAGTCACTTCTTTTAACTTCTTCATGAAGTTACATTCCTTGCCCTGGAGAGATCGACAGACGGAAGTATACACAACTCTATAGGAAAAGCTATGGTTTTCATCATGACTGTTTAAATATGTGTGGGTTCTTCTAATCACATCCAGGAGCTGTTATCTATCTCTGTTTTATGTTCTGTTGATGGTATTTTCTGCAGTAACATCTAGAGGAAAAAACAGTTCTATTAACTCCTGGTTTGTGCCTGTTTTAAATTGTGAGGAAATGTCTCGACTCTTAACAGCAGGAGACGTCCATGACAGTCATGATTTCAAGACTTTGTATTTGAGGTTTTAAAGACAGAAACAATCTATGATAAAGGGTGCGAAGTATATTTATACTAATGCATGAGAATAATTACTTGTGTTGTCAAAGATGTGTAATTGTGAGGTATGCTGTAATGACAGGCTGCTCAAGACCGTGCATCTCTATTTACGCTGGTTAAGTTAAGCATAAAGGCATTTGGCTTTGTGGGCATTTTCTCTGATATTTAAAACAAAAATTGGGCTTTTTATTTCATCTGTCTTGTGACCACCAACACCACAGACTTTCTCAGTGTCCTTTAAATTTGTTTAATACCCTCTTTAGCGAGTGTTTCTTCCAGCATGTGGATTCCTAACTGCATTGTTTTTCTCCAGAGGTCCTGATATCTGTTCTTTTTTTAAACCAACTATGTATATATATGATTAGTAAGGCATACAGAGTTATTAACAAACAAAACACAAAATTAGGTAGGGTTGCAAGCTGTCTTTTGGCAGACATTCATAGGCCTGTCTAAAATCTTGCCTCTGTGTTGTTCCTACTGGGTTTTTTTATATCTCCGATGTCCCCTTTCTTGGCAATTCCAACAAAGAGGTGAAGAATTGTGTAAGCCTTGTAAGCTGCCTTAAAAGTTGAGGAAAGTCTGAAGGAGCAAGATGAGGGTACCTCCATGTACTGTGCAGTAAAGGATTGTCTCTAGAAAGGGGCTCTGTTCTGGTTTTGCCAGTGTTCCCTCTTTTTTTTTGACAATTAAACATCGGTAGCTTTGTACTCTGCAACTTTGATGTTTTGAAAATCCAGCAAGCCCAAGTGCACTTACTTGCAGGCTGACTTTTAGACAAAAAGACTCGTTATCTCTGTGTGCTGGAACTGACCAAATATAATGTGACTCTTTCTAAACCAGGCTTGAAAGTGGGTGAAAAGGAGTGCTTTAATATTCTATAAAGATGAATTACAGGTTACGCTTCTGAGGTTACACTTCTTAAGTTTTTCTTGTGTATTTATATGGGTTTTCTCAGACAACTGGATGTGAAACTTGTTTTCTGATCTCTTTTTGAGAATAATATGCATTTAGTTTGGCTGTAAGATTGTTGTTTGGGTTTTTTTTAATAAAACAGCTTGAATACTGCCAACATGAACAACAAACTGACACAGATTTCAGATTTCCCCCCCCCCCTTTGGAAATCCATTTGGACTTGCAAAATAATTCCCTTAGAAATGGTAAACACCATTTCTCTTCAATTTTACTGAATTCTTGCTTAGACTGGAAATGATTCCAATGTCCTGCTTCTGCGCCTCTGCTGCCACTCTCTGAATAATGTGTTTTAGACTTAGAAATTGGTCAGAAAAGAATTTTGAATCTGAAACCTCTTAATTTCCTTGGCTGCAAATGGAGTAATTGTTTTCAGAATTTCTGGATTGCAGAAATTCTTGGGTTTTGATTCAGAAGGGACCACTTATGTTTTTGGAACTACTTTAAACCAGTTTCTATGCAGTCTCAATCTTGACAAAACCAGCATTCTAGATAATGTCAGTTCCAAACCAAAATTAGGCACACTTGTGCGTTTAACCTAATCTTCTTTGGCTTGCCACTGGTTAGATTTGCCTTTGTATATTGTAGTGTGTAAGTTGTGATATTTAATGTGACTATAATATCAAATGCCCCTGAAACATTTTCTTACCTTTCCAGGCTATGACATTAGCGTCATTATTTTTCTTAATATTGCTGATGAATTAATACCCTTGACTATCCACTATTGATGCTGATTAGGAGCAAATGCTGTTTTCCTACAAAGGGCATTAAAATGGTAAGATTTTTAGACCAGACATATAGAGAGATAGATATATAATATAAAAAATTAGACCAAGTCGTAATTGCAGGAGAAGGAAAGAAGCATGCCTCCAGAGAGACAAACATGGGTTTGGTCACTTTGGTTCTGAATTGGTCACAATGTACCATCATCATCATTAACTGTTTTTAAGAATTCCCAGAAGATGACTGCAGTGGTTTGCCAGAAAAGGTGAAGAAGCCTGTCTGTTTCTTCCAGTGTCAGCACTAGTCTAATAAAAGATGGTTTTCATTGTGAACCTTGCCTAGGTTGTTCTGTAGCGTTTTTTGATGTGATAATACTGTTGATTTGTAACTTCCATTTCTGCTCTCTAGAACACAGCCTGCATTTTAATGGCTTAGTTAAAAGCTGAAAATATGAAATACTCTCCTTCATTTATAAATATTTATAGTATATCTCGGCTCCAGTAAGCCACACACTGAATTTTTGACCAGTGTGGCTTTCATTAAGGTTTCCATGGGAATGACAGTACCCCCTAGCTGAATATAAATGAGCTGTGCCTATCATTTTGAATCAGCCTTTCTATTTTATCTAAAACGTGCAATATCGGAAAGAACAGAGTTCTGCAATGTATGTGTATAATAATTCCTACTTTCATGTTGGGTCTTAGTGAGGCCTTGTTGTTTGGATATGTTTAGCCTGGTGATAAAGAGTTATGAGAACTGTCAGCTCCTAAGTCCACTCCACATGAGTCATATGGTTTAACGCTTCAGGCCTGTTTTGGGGTGAGGCATCTTACAGACAGGAAATTCTAAGCTGACTCAGCTGCAGTCCTAGGCCACTGCAGTATATTGACAAAATGTGTGCGCCTTTATATTCTGGTCATCTATTCATAGCAAAGCGGAGAAAATGGATATTGTTAATAAGCATCCCTTGACTTCCTCAATCTTCTTCCTTTGACGCAATTTGCAAACCAGGGAGGGCAACTCTGAGCGAGGCTTTAGAGTAGCCCCGCTTCCATTTTATGGCGTTACAGAATGTTTCTAAGTAGGTTTGTGGCTTTTGATTTTTATATGATTACAGCTATACAAGACTAGAAAGAACTCATGACATTAAGGTGTTCGGTCTCTTTGTTTCAGTAGATGGTAAAACTCTTCCAAGTATGCTTTTTTTGGGGGGAAAAAAATACAGAATACTCCCCTCCCCCAATGTATTCCAGTTTAATCTCAGAAACAAACAGCTTTTAAGAAGTATCCTCTAGAGAGAAGACAATATGTTGCCCATTTATTTCCTAATTGGTCAGATAGTGGAAACACTTGTTTGGTGTGGCTGTTGGTATGTTTGAGGATATTTATTGCTTGCTCTTTCTCCAAACAGTGTTGTTTCAAAAGTAGTATTATGCTCTAAAAGATTAGAAATTGAGGTAATGACAAACTCTCATGAACTGAGGCTGGTAATGAGGCTACAGTTGTTGTAGAAATTCATAATCATAAGAGTTGCTGGCTGTACCTTTGACAGCCCTACTAGTACGTGGAACTCTTCTGTACTTGTGTATGAAGCTATTAAATCTCTGCGTCTATTAGTATAGAAAAGGATTATCCCACTGATTCTTTTTTTACATTTCTGTAGATGAAAAGCAAAGTAATGACTAAATGGTATGAAAATCATAAAGGAAGCCTTAAGCCTTATCCAATCCTGTGTTCTCCTACCAGGAGCTGGGGATTTCAGATGTGTGGTTACAGCCTGTGGGGGAAGGAGTTCAAGTGTCTGGTCTCACGCAGTATGTTTGCTGAGTGACTCAAGGTCTGACATGCAATACTTGGGGAAAATTGCTAGTAAAATACCTGTACCTGTTATAATGGTATCTTTAAGGATTAAAGCAAATATATTAACTTTCTTATAACCTGAAAATTACACCAGCTAGATATGTAGAATAAAGGGATAGATATGTGTAAAATAGGGTAGGAGATGCTGACACTCCTTGAGTGTTGACCATTTTAACAGAACTGAAAGCTAAGTTATTAGCGCTTCCAGACTTTGATTGTAGTCGCATTGTCTCCATAAACTCTATGAAAACTAACAGAACTTTCCTTTGACAGCATAGTAAGGTGGGACCAGTTGTTCAGGTGTGATACTTCTGTTTGCATGAATGATATATATTTTGTACGTGACATACTATGATGCATCAGAAAATGTTGTATTACATGACATTTGAGTTTCTAAACTGTAAAACATAAATGTTTGAGAACTGAAGGTTGGTTGTTGCCTGGCTGGTATATCAGTTCTGACACAGTCCATGAGATCATGACAGGTAGCTCTTTCAGAAGACTTTAAATGGAGACTCTTTTAATTCTAAGTTGTAATTAAGCCCAAAGGGAACTTAATTTATTGAAGATTGTAAATGTGAAGCAGCAGATTCGTTACATAAACTTTGGAAAAGTATGTATTGTAGCAACTTACTCTTAGCATATTTAATCATCCTGTTAAAAATCTTTTTCTAAAAGCATAGTGAATGGATTACACAGGACTTAATTAAGAATTCGAGCAAGCTTGAAATGTAACACGAGTTAGAGTTCTGCCATTTTAATGCAAACAAGGTCAGTGTTGAGTACAGAGCAAGCCTGGGACTGAGCGTACAGCTGTAGAACTACTGCGGACGACCAAGCCTCATAAATAAAACTTGCTTTTACAAATAGGTTGTGCTCAGTTTAGGTAGATCTGTTTTAGCATTACTGGACGCTAATAACCCAGAAGAATCCTTTTTCTTTTTTTTTTCTTCCCCCTTAACAAGCTATTTAGCATTTCAAACAGTAGTGAATGCTGGCTTTGAGTAGTATATTGTTTTTTGTTTTTCCAGGTCTATAAAGGTGAATTTCAGCTTCCTGACTTTCTTAAAGAAGTGCCACAGGTACAGTATTGGGTTAGTTTCCTTTTTGCGGGTGTAGCGGCAAGTCAGTATGCAACCAGTCTTTATGAACCACTTCTTCATAAATTTGATTTTCTGTTTGATCATAAGAGAATAGTTGACTAGAGACTATAAGAGAATAGCTTGTCCATGAGACTGAATCTCCAGTGCTCTTGCACTCAGCAGTCCCAAGCCTCTCTTGAGTGCATGTGTAACTCCAGTGTTAATAGTATGGTGCTTGTAAACCTGAGCTGACTGAATATTGCTGTGAAACTCAAGGAAAGTTTGACTCTCCTTTTGTGTAGACCAAACTGCAAAGTTTGTTATTTGTAGAGGAGCTTTATCTTTTGTTGCCTTGCGTGGAAGGGTTTAAAGCAAGTACAGTACAGAGAGCAGAGATAAGTAATGAGAGATTTTTAAGAAGAAATACTGCTGTATCAAACAAAAACATTCAGCCATGGATGGTGATGGTGTGTGGATTTAATAATCAAGTGAGCTATTGAACTCCAGATTTTACTGAGAATTCATAATCTGGTACCCTTTAAATGCTATTAATTGTCATCAGCTACCTAAGGGACCTAACCTTTGCAGTAGCAGTTGAAAAAGCAAAATCCTTATCATGGAGCTCTCTTAAACCGCAGGATCTCTTGATACCTTCCCCCAGCTATGTGAATGTGTGGGAAGCATGCTTCCAACCTCGTGCCCTTTCCTCATGTAGACATGATGGAAAGGTTTTGGGCTGTAACCACTAGCCTGTTTACGGACATAGGAGTTCAGTTTGGAAGATGGCATCCCTTGCTGCTGGGCAGCTCTTCTGTGTCTCCTGAAGGTAACAGAGCACTCAAGATGGACTTGTTCCATGGAGCTGCCTGTTGGAGTGCTCTGTTTCAGTAGCTTGAAGGGCTTCTCTCTGTGTGTTTTGTTTTGTTGTTTTTTTTTCCTCCCCAGTGTATAGTGAAATTAATTCTCCCTCCCATAGCCTTGCAGATTTAAGCTCTGCTAATCTAGCCATGAAAAATCAGAGCAGACAGTCTAGACAAGGAGCAAATCATTTAATTCACCGTTATCAGAGAAATAACAAAAATATTTGTATTTTATTGCTTAAATGAAATATTTTATATGAAATAAGTAGGACGTAGCAATTGGTTCTGTTTTCTTGGGTAAGAGCTGCTCAACTAGGCTCAAAAAATATCGATTTTTGTAGACTGTATAATTGATGGTAAATGTCTGAATGCCATCTAAAGTGCTCTCTACATTGTGCTTTGCTAGAAAAAACAGGAAGTGGCTCATCACTGTTGCTGTCTCAGGGTGTGTTGAAGTAAAGCTAAGTAGAAAAATACTTGGGGTTTTTTTTCAATTCCTCCTGCATATACAGGGGTATAGCATTGCAGAATTGGGAGAGAAAGCATTTTTAGAGGCACTCTGCCTCCAGAATTGTGTATCTCTGCTTGCGTTACTTTATATTTCTACTCAAATTTCCCATCCTTAATAATACATACAGTACAGAAGTTTATTTAGAATGTAAGTGTAAGTAGCCTATCAAAAGTAAAATAATTTGCAATATCTTTACTTTTAAAAGAAAAAAAACCCCAAAACTAATGGGCACAAGCTTTCTTGACTTTGGATTCCCCAGTATTAGGAAAGGACTCTTTGATTATGACTTTTGTTAGATGTAGAGATTGAAGAATACACAGGAGAATCTACCACGTGCAAACAAAGCATTTTGCCTTATTCCGTTCATTCAAATGAAAATTAATTGATTAAAAAGGAAAATTGGTTTCTTTTGTTCCAGCCAAAGAAGACAGTAGAAAGGAAGTCTCGTGGCAAGATAAAATGAACATGGATCAGTAAAGTCGAATAGCTGTAGTGTCTGTTTCATGTTTCCAGAATATAACTTTTTGCTGTGGACACCAAATCTTTCTGATAAATCTTTGTGTGATCTCTGATGTGGGCTTCGCTCTTACTGGATGTTTGCCTGCTCTCACCCTTTGAACAGTTAGTGCTTGTGCTTTGCAAGTTGTGCTCAGCTAATAGAAAACCATTAAGAACCTGGCACCACGCAGCTAAATGTGCTGTTGCTCACAGCATTGTTCACTCTCAACTGCTGGCCAAAATGTCTATGCAGCTTAACGGCAAGACAACTATTTAAATGTGTGCTGCTTAAAAGTCATTGTCAGCAAATTGTATTGAGAAAGTGTGCTGTAGTTATTTCTAATGCTTTCAGATGCAATTATTGTGGTTATTTCAAGCTTATCTACAACCTTACAGGTGAAGTTGCAGCATATCAGGCTGCAAGCATAGGGTGTGTCAGAACAGAAGGATATTAAATATCGCTGATAAGGATTTCTGGAAAATGCAGGGAGATGAGCTATCTTTAAGATTTAGCACGCTGTGTATAGATAGTGTGCTAGCAAAATAAATGATCCTTGATCTGCCTACAGTATCGGTTAAATTATGCTGTTTGTATTTTGCAGTTATCTTGTGATACATCAAAAGAACTTGGTCCACTATTACTAGTAAATGTCCTCTTCCAATCCATATTGATAGGGAGGTTTCAAAATGGGACTCTCCTAAATTTCAGGAGGTGGATTTATACAGTTAGCCTGGTATGGTTACAGTATTTACCAAACTCTGAGCAGATTTATCCAGAGTAAAGATCATCTAAAAAGCAAAAATAAGCTTTGTGAAAAAGTACGAGAATATTGCTTAAACCGTAAGAACTGACGCTGGAATTGAAATTGATGCTGATAGTGTTCTCCTTTATTATTATACTAAAGTTAACATAATGTAACTAAACAGCTAGATGGTTTTGAGTACAAGCATTGGTGCTGATAATGATATTTTTCCCTCTAATGTAAAATAGCTAATTTCATTTTAATTATTTACTTGACAGACTGAACCTATGGAATAGAAGAGACAATGGATATTTCTTGCACAGAAGGTAATAAAAGAGCATGCAGTCCTGCTCGTTTGCTGCTCTTGATTTAGTTAAGGTGATTTTTTTTAAACTTATGTAACTCCATGTAAGATTCTGGGTAAGAAAAATATGAAGATATGGATCTTGATTCAGAATCTGTAAAAGTTACATTGAGGTAAGTCCTAGTGGTGAGAGCTACAAAAGCATAGGTCATGTGCTTTAAGGATCACAATGCAGTTCTCCATGGCTCATCACAATTAGCAGCATTTGCTATGCTATTGGATTGTCAGCACTACTTTAGAGCTTGAAATTGAAAGGAGTACATAAAACTATACCGCTACTTGTCCAGGCATTCTTTAGCAGAGATTCTTGTTCATTTTAGTATCTGTGCGTCTTTCAGTGCTATGGCATACTTGCACAACAGATTCAGGTCCCCATTTTAACAAAATAGTGACACTTTAAAGATGACTCTTAATCATCTTTGTCTTTTGTTTTTTAAATCAATTGCCCTTTCTAGATAGAGGAAACTGCTAAAGATGAGCTGATTTGTAAATTTGCTTTTAATATGTCCCATAGCCAGTATTTTCCATAAACTGCATTTTAGTTGTTGAATTAACAATGGCAAGATTGTGCAGGGAACTCAGTAAATTCCAGACTAGTCAATGAATGAATGGTGCGAGATTTACTGTATTAATCCAGGATTTTTACTTGTCAACTGTGTTATCAAATGTTCTAGCTTGACAACAAAAGATAGCAAAATGCGTCCAGTTTAAATATAGCCAAAAGCAACATGCCACACAAATATACCCAGCGTAGATATTTGTATGTGGCCATAAATATAGCTCGCTCTATAGCCCTAAATATAGCCAAAAGTATCATACAATTAGAAATAATGGATATGAAAGTTTTCCAAAGGTTAATTGCAGACCTTAATTCTGAAATCGATAGGGAAACCATAATCTTTTCCTGTAGTCAATGTTAAAATGACTGAAACATCTACTTCATGTTGCCACTTACCTCTTTGAAAACTGCATTTAAAACTACAATATTTCTATCTAAAGCTCCCGTCCAATTTCTGAGAAACCGAACTGTTAACTTCTGGTGGTAACTACCACTGATACATTGTAATGAGAGACACTTTCAACATGTAAACACAGCCCACTTTCACAAGTGTTTTGAATGTAAGTGCAAATTCAGATATATATATATTTTTTTAACATCTAAATATGCTCCAAGAAGTAACTCTAATGATAAATGATGGAAAAGGCAGCCACATTCCTTACAGGAAAGTTTTTAGTGGCTGTGGTTAGTCTTGACAGTGACTTTTCACCTACTGAGATAAGTCATTACACTTAATTATGCATTATTTGTAATTACAAAATTTTGTCGGGGATAAAAACAGAATATTACATTGAAAGCTCAAACATAACTTCATTTTTCTTTTTTTTTTTTAGAAAGACTGCTGCCTTTTCAATGGAAATGATCTTACAAGGACTGTCCCACTAGATCAGTGAGGTGTACTGCTCGTGGCCTGCTTTTTTCAGTCTTCTCCCCATTTTCTTTCATACTGTTTTTGTTCAAAATTTTGTTGTTGTGAGCGCATGTAAACCTGTCTTAAAAAAAACCCAAACAAAACTGATGTTAATGTAGAACTGTATTACACTTGCACAATTCATTTTTTTAAGGTTTTAAAAAATGCAAAGCAATGCCTGTCTCCAAAATTGATACTCTGTCTTAATTCCAAAACTCCCATCTTCAAAGATATTTTTTTCTTTTTTCTCTGTAGCAGTTTGGTTTTAAATGTATGAAGCTTTCAAAAGAGTGGTCTGTGCTTGTCCTAAAAGATTTTTGGTGGAACAGTTGTTTGTTTTTATTCAAAAGTGGAAATTGTTAAATATCTTTTATTTAAAAAAAAAGATAATTTACATGTACAATTACAATTTAATGATCTTTTGTATTTTATTTTTCAAAATAAATGCTTTAAATGTGATTATTTTTTTATTAATGTGTTTGCCTCAGTTAAGATTTAAATAATTCAAGATATTGATATATTACTCAGAAGATATGATCTAATGTCCTGGGTTTGGTTCTCTTTTTAAGGTTTGTGATTGAATGCATTTTGTTTGCTTTTAATAGCTGAGTGATGAGAATCCTACTGAGAAGTGTGAGAGAGGAACGTCGTGAGGGTTTTGGTTTTTTTTTTTTTTACTGCAGGAAAAAGTAGGTAATTTTTAGCCTATTGAATTTGTTCTTCAAAAGCAATTGTGTTCAGAGAGGTGCTGCTGGGGTGAAGTGCTTCTGAAAACCCTGCTGTGAAACTTGTCTCCTAAAGCTTTGAGCATCTGTCAGTCAACGTGGAACGTGATTATTGAAGTAAGGGGTTTGGGGGTGGTTTTTGTGTCTCATTTTCTGCTCACCTTGGTAGTTCTTGGCATACTGAAGGTGGCCTCGGCCTTCTCCACTGATTTTTTTTTTTTAAGAGTTCTTTCCAAAATGCTTGTTTCCACAAATTCTGCCTCTTTAGTATTTGGAACGGTTTTGCTTTTCCTGTTTCTTGTGTTGCTACAACTCCATTTTGAGATCATTAACAGTGACCGAACAACGTTTCAATGCCTTCGGGAAACAAGTTAACGCTGCAGTTTGGAACAGGTTCACCACGTGCTTACCAAATACAGTTGTTTGCAAAAGTAAACCTGGAGCATCCCCTAGTGACACCGCAGGGAAACGCTGCCCCTCGCTTTCTCCCTGGAAAACGCTGCCAGCTCTGCCGCTGACACGCACAGCTCGCTCCCCGAAGCCGCCGCTGCCTGAGGCGGCAGGGACCGGCCGCCTGCCCCCCGTGGTTCCCCTTCCTGGTGGAGGGAGAGCGTTTCGCTAACGGAGCGGTAATTAATTGATGAGTTATGGGACGTTTCCCCTCATAGATGAACAGAAATGAGGGAAAAACCGCAAAAAGACCCAGGCGTGCTTATGAGAACGGTGCGGGTGAGGGGGGGGCCTCCCGCCGCCCCCCGTGCGGGGACGGTCCCGCTCCCCCTCCCCGCCTCGGCGGCCCCGC